ATATACGAGCACGCCTATGTATGGTAATATACGGCTGGCCGCCCCGCGATGTTAACAACATGGGGCAAGACGCCTATCGATGGAAGTGTGGACGTAGTTGGGACAACCACAATATTGCCTGCTGGTAGGTCCCTGGATCGCAGTACACTGAAGGCGATAGCGTGCTGTTTTAGAATAGTGTGCGCACGAAGTTGCATTTTACTAAGACATTGTACTCATCCGAGCTTTCGGACAAGTATGTAACTCGCTGCACAAATGCGAGTAGCGGTTAATTGCGTCTCAGATGCCTTGGCGCGTCCATCCCAGGAATCTCTGAAGTGATTCCAGTAGACGTATGCGCCCCTGGGTCACGAGACTCAACTTATCACCGTTGCGATGTGGGGCCGAATTAATGCAATCTTTGCAGTAACAGACTATCGGTGTATGGGAAATGATCCTGCCTTAGGAAAGCAAATAGCTACCAGCACTTTATTCAGTTTTTTGTTGAACATGTTGGAAAGCGCTTTTACACCACATATAATCAAACACTTCACAGTTCACAAAAGACCCCGAACAATGCGTAGCTTGCATCTGGCCCTCAGGAAAAGCAAAAAGCGGTTAAAAAAACTCCCTAATGGGCACAAAAAGTGGAATATATATGAAGCACACTTCTAACTTGTCTAGCAGGAGGCCCAGTTCCCTGGAAATAAGTACATAACGCTCTTCCTGACCCACATTTGGATTACGCTCGACTTCCAGTATATTTCTGTAATGGTTATGGGAAAGATTTTGTTTTGTTTTGCATTCAGTGCTGGAGCGACGGACGTTAGTTCGTGTGCGACCCGCTTTTTAACCAACTTTTTCTCACAATTATCCCTACTCGCTTCCTATGTAGGGCCTCCCTGTAAAGCGACAGGTCCAACTGGCACGTCTTCTTGTGGGACCCGAAGGGGCAATCAATGACATTTCAAGTTTTGCTCGGAAGTATGCCCTTCGACTGCTTACTGCAATGCTGGTCCAGAGCCCGGCTGCAAAGGTGCCTGACTACTATACGCCCTCTTTCCACCATTCCTCTTTGAAATTCAAATACGATTTTGGCGCCGAACACATTCGCCGTAAAAACTCTTCTGGCGCATCTCGGTGCAGTACGTGTGATATTGGTCAAGACTTGCGCTTTTTCTAGTTGCAGGTGTTGACGGAGGTTATAACAGGCTAAGGAAGGCATCAAAAAACCCGAAAAGGGAGCTATCTCTCCCGCGTGCCCTTGTTCGTTCACTCGATCCACTCGATCGTTTTGTAGCTCGCCAGTTTGTGATCCTGCTGCCTTCACCGAAGCCTCTGTGTTATGGGTAACCATGCAGGACAGTGCTGGAGAAATGCTACCAATAAAAACAAGGAAGGCTAGAACTGCCATTTCCGGTATCCTCCAGCGCTATTCCAAGTTCAGACTGAGCAGATCTGCAATTTGTCCCCACACCGGGCTAGTTGGTTATTGAATAGTCTAGCCACGGGCTCACGTCATGTCGGTCGCAGTCGAAAATATCCAAATTCACTTGAAAGTGGTTCTTCGCACCGTCCTGATTTCAGGACGAAACTTGCCCGCTCCTTTTCTGCTTTGGGGTTTCAAACTAGAGCCCCCACGGATGGTTGAATGGCGACAAGTGATTAGCAATACGAAACACTAACATCAATAGAGGTAAAGTGGACTGCAGTGGCCATACTAGGCTTACTTAATGCATCAGTCAGCCGCTTTTAAACTGGTTTTAACATGCGTCCTGCGGCTTCTGTAACGTTCCTTATATAGATTTCCGATGTCACCTCTCTAACATAAAAACTTTGTTAACTAAACTGTGAGAATAGCAATGGAAGAGGAGAAGATTCCACAATTCATTCTTCCGTTCATTCGATAGAAACTTACGTTTTCTCCCAATTTTATTCTCGAAAGACGGGTATAACTCGATTTTCAAAAACTTTTCCAAGTCCCGAATAATTTTGAACCCGACCTGTCATTACACTTGCATTCGCGGTTTCCAAAGTACAAGCCGTATATTTTCCGCCTACAGGAAACCATACATTTCCTTACGGTATTAATAGAAGATTATCTAGGGTTCATAGAATTTAGCAGTTGATTTGAGCTATATTGTTAACTTTACAAGCCACATTGGCAAATGCAAAAACATGACGTTTTATAAACGGCCATTTCACGGTACTAAAAATTCTCACAATCAGAAACTTTCAGGAAAGCCATTCCAGCCTCCCTTGTCTTTGTCGGTAATATCATTCTGCCTATATCATGCGCCGCTGCTCGGCTGCTGGTTGGGCTCGAGAAAGAGTCCATAAGGCACAACAGAACGAGTAAGTTCCGTAAGAAGGATCTGTGAGCGCCCCCAACCATTATATATATATATATATGGTAGGGGACGCTCACCGATCGTGAGTTCGAGGCTCGGGTGTTCCACACTTCGGGCTTGGGTATGGCCGGCTGACGACGGCTAATAAGCCAGAAATGGCCATTCCAGTCTCCCTACAATGCGGGTCCTGTCCCAGGCGAATTTGTGTCCGGTTTCCAACGTATGCATGGCAACTTGGGACAAGTAGTCTCGCCTTTTTACGGCCAACTGATGTTCGTGTATTCGTGTAGAGGCCATCCATTCTGATAACGCATGCATCAATAGACACGTAGAATTGGATACGGTGTACAACAGCCTCAAGGAAAAGTGGAAAAGGCATTAGCCAATCAGAACAAGACACCAGCATAAATGACAAGGCAAAATCGATTTTTTGGCATGTTTCAATGTTGACTGTTTTGCACACTTATTCCACGTCTGAAGACGACTTGGGGAACCAAGATCGAAAATTTACAATAAACCTTGTTAATCTTTCCCAAATAGCTTATTTCTTTCGAATTATGATTCTTGGGATGCCTGTGTTCAAATTCATATATATATATATATATATATATATATANCGTTCCAAAGTGTCGTTCCCCCCCCCCCTCTTCCCCCTCCAAATATGACCGGTTGCGCTGCCTTCGGCTGAAATAAACTAGTGCGGTCTGTTAAATATGCCCGTCTCGGCGGGCGAGCGAGCGTTGAATCTGGGAATTCGAGAAAGGCTGTTTTATTCGTTCCTACGCAGTCGTCGATTAAGTATATACTAATTCAGCCTGTCTTAAGCTTCGTAGAATAATTTGACTAGAAAATTCTTTCATTTAGATCGTTGTCTTTTTCAAATTTAACCGGTGTAGGTACTTAGAGTGTTGCGGGACATAGTACGTGCGAACCCTGTCTTTAGTTTACCACAAGCCTGTCGTTAGATAAACGCCAGGCTACTACTTCACTAAAGAATGGCCTGAGGTTGAAGCCTGTTAACTGTGCTCTTCCTTAAGCATTTTCTCACCCACTACTGGCAGATGACGTTTTTACATAGGGATGATCGTCATGGTCACGATGCGTTACTTTCGCCTCAGTTACTGAGCGGTAACCAAGGGACGATTTTCATTAATGTCAAGGAGATTAGATCAATAAGGGTTGTAGAAATATATTTATATATATATTGGAAAGCACCGCTCTAATAAAGAAAGTTATCAATCAGGAGTGAAATACCCCTTCAAATTATTTTCCCACAGCGGGTACCCGCGCGACTTTGTACGCCATTGTATGAAGCATGAGTCTAAACAGAAAGGTATTTCTAAAACTACAGCCACCCGGGCACCAAAAACCTTCACCTGACGAACTCTCCCATACGTGAAAAATGTATCTGAGCTCGTCGAAAAATGGCTGAAAAAGCATCAGATACAAGTTGCACACCAACCTGTAACCACATTGCGTACACAACTTGTACACCCTAAGGACAGGGTTGGCTATCTCGATAGAAAAGGTGCCGTCCACAGGATCCCATGTCCCAGTTGTGATGCCGTCTATTGTGACCAGACTGGGAAATTTATTGTAACCCGCATACTTGAGCACCAGTTAGCGCTGAAGAGACGAAATCATCTATCCCAGGCGGCTATGCACACACTGGACACAAATTTGCATGGGAGAAGACTGGCATTGTTGGCGTCTGCCCAATAAGGTAAGGCCGCGAATTTCTTGAAGCAATACACTCAGATAGGGCATGCATAAATCGGCATATCGATTTAGATGCCACTTAAAAATTTCTCAAGGATAGATGGAAGCGAGCGCAGCCAATGCCGAGGGGGGGACGAAGAACCATTGACGCGCATTGGCGCAGGCTTCGGCCAACCATAGCATCACTTGCTCGTTACGGTTAAATAGTTAACTGTTTTTGTACATAACCCAGAATCTGACGACGAGATGGGGAACCAGTCTCGAAAATTTACGCATTAAAGTTCATTTTGTTCCCAAAGAATCTTAATTATTTTTAATATATATATATATATATATATATTGTTATGCGGGTCAGACCGTTGTCGCTGTTTTCAGCAATTGTCCGAAAACAGAAAACTGTTCACGAAGCTCCTCTTTTGTTCTCCAGCTCACTGCAGACACTTCAGTCGGGACGAGTAGCGAGTTGAGCGGCAGTCAAAATAACAGCGCCATGGAAGAGGAGGCCGGTCTGGTTGGTGCTGTGGCGGACGACGCTGAGGCCGACTACATTCGTAGGGTATTGGACAATGAGGTCCTTTTGCAGCCGGATCACATGCTGGCTCGACTACTGCCACTTGTAGTCCATGTGTGCACTCACCAGAGCAAGTTCTCCGATCCTGACCTTCAGGTGCGCCGTTTCTTCACGGCCGTCACCGCGGTCCTATTCGCCGCCTCGCGTATATTTTGTCTTGTTTTTTTTTGTAATTCTCGTACCCACCTTTCATGCTCTTGTTATATCATACCCTAGGCTGCCGCATCGCTGGCCCTTGTGAAGTTCATGCTGGTCAGTGCTGTTGTCTGTGAACGTCACCTGCAATTGCTTTTCACCCTGGCGGAGAGATGTCCCTCCGAGGTTGTTCGCGCAAATCTGGTTGTTGGTCTGGGAGACTTGGCACGTCGTTTCCCCAACCTAATAGAACCGTGGACGCCAAACTTGTACGCTCGTCTGCGAGATTCCTCTTCTAAAGTGCGCATAAATGCCCTCAACACTCTTAGCCATCTTATTCTCAATGATATGGTCAAGGTGAGCAAGAACTGCTTATAGTTCATGATTTGTGAAAATATGCAACAATTTACTCATTACTACATTTCACGGCCCACCTCTCTGCTGAATTGTATACAGGTGAAGGGTCAGATCAGCGAGATGACGGTGTGTCTTATAGACGGCAATGAACGCCTCAAACAATTGTCTCGCCTGTTTTTCCGGGAATTATCACAGAAGGGGAATGCCCTCTACAACGTAATGCCTGACATAATCAGCCGCCTCAGCGACCCAGAGGTTGGCGTAGAGGAGTGCAAATTCCGGCAGATTGTTGAGTAAGTTCCCCTGGTCTCTATTTCATTCATACTCGTGCATTCTTGACCTGTTTCCACTTCTCAGTAAAATATTACAGAGGCTTGATCCGCCACACTCATAAACTAAGAGACTCGGCTAAAAGTCATGAGGTTACCTCAATACCGAGATGGCATAAGGCTATCGCTGCCTTAGAGATATCGTTTTGAGTTTATAATTACACGAGAAGTGTCGCATCTGTGTAGTCTAGAGATTGCGCAACATGAAGGCGCCCGGTGAGTACGGCACCCTCGCCGAATTCGACATATCCTATGTCGACACTGGCGCCTTGGTCCCAGGAAGTTATTCAATAAGCGTGGGGTGAGCTACTCCTTGATAACTGATACTCGGTCATTTTGTGCCTGTCTTTAATTAGGGAGATAAGACAAAGTGCGAAAAGTACCGCGGCATTGGCCTCATGGAAGTCTCTGCAGAGGTCTTTATCATTCACAGGCGATTTCACAGAGTGCGTCACTCAAGGACGAGATCCAATCAAGCCAGATTCCGAGCGGGGCACGCTTGCACAGACCAGATACTCTGTGGCGCATGTCCGGCGGGAAAAACCAATCGTCTGCTTTGTTGACTTCGTTACAGCCTTCAACTTCATCCATTGGCAGTCTTGGTGAATAATGGAGCTAGATGGCATGTCTGCCAGAATCAGCGCCACCCATCGTTCCACCACCGTGTAAATTCTGGCCGATAAAGATATCACCTAACCGCCTAACATTCGGTCTGGCGTCCCAAGAACTGGTATCGTGTTGTCTGTCCTGTCTAACGATATCATTGACTGGATCCTTAGAAACAGTGTGTGCACGCTTGACGGTGTAGAATTTGTGTCAGGCTGCCGGTTGACTGAACGGGGCCACTCTCAGCATATCGCTTTGCTAACGTCAAGCTATGTTGAACTGTAAACTGCAGCTTCTCACATGAAGGAGGTCGTTAGACTATTCGGTCTGTCCACCAATGCTAGGCTAACCTGTACTTCCGAACTGCGTTTCTGTCTAGGAGGAGGCGCGCCTCGAGATAAATGATTGTCAGATCCGAGAAGTGGACAGTTTTAAACACCTGGGGAAGAATTCGGTGCTAAATCAACACTAGGGATGACGTCGACATCTGAATCGATACTGCTCACAGGGTTGTTGCGATTCTAAAAATGTGTTTGTGCAGTCGACATGATATCGCCGTTGCAACAAAGACCCACACCTACCTGACATCTGTCAGGCCAGTTCTGTACGACTGCAAAT